TTTTTTTGCCCATCCCTATAAATAATATAAACAATGTAGTAACCAAAATAAGACTATAGAAATAAAGTACTGTGAATGAGATACAAAGTCGGCCCAAAACTAAAATTTTCAAAAGACTAAATCGGACAAAATCGGCCCAACGGGTTCAGCACCACTCACCAACAAAAGTATATTAGCTGATATAGGTTCAGCACTCACTCATTCACAACACAAGTTCCATAAAACTCTGGTTTTATGATCTCACAAGACAATGGAGCGTTACAGAATCCAAACAAAGTGTCTAGGGGGACTAGGACCCGAGAGTTGAGGAGCAAGACTAATATGTGACGCAATTGGGCAGATTTCTGATGACGTTGCTCTTCATTCCGAGCTTGACGCGCATTTTCGCTCCTCTTTTGTTCATCTCTCTCATCACTTTCATCCTCACTATATCCTCCTTCGACTGCACTGTTGCTAGACCCATGCTCTTATACCTGTGTTTAAGAAAATCAGATTTCGTAATGCTGATTTTAGAGAGAAAGTAAGAGAGATGAGGTCTAATGGGTCAATGACAAACCTTGAGGCTAGAGAGTTGACAATGTGCTTCTGAGAAGATGGTGGTGGCTTCTGTTTGTAGTAGCGTATGAATTCTCGAGATCCGAGAGTCCTAGATGTTACTTTGTTCTCGGTTCTCTTGGTGATCACGAGCTCAGACCCACCAAAAAGCTCTACAGTGTTAACTGATTCCCCAGATACAACCATCTGATTTTCGCCTTCATTGACATAGCTGTACAAACACACATTTTAAAAGAAACAATAGTTCAAGCAAAATCAAATGTTTTGGTAAGAAGATAACAAGCAGAGGTGAAAGCAGAAGAACTGAGACCTGCTGCTGTAGTCATAGAACTCTTCTAGTTCTGCATCTTCTTCGTCACCACCATCACCATAATGCACTTTGCAATGACTTTTGGCTTCCATATGCTTCCGAACAGCTTCCAAACTGCTGAATGGATGGCACAATTCATTGCAGTACAGACACATGAAGTCCCTCTTGACCTGGACCAACAAACATGTAAGTAGCATTGAAAAAAAAAAAAAAAGATCTACTGTAACAGTAAACATCGAGGACTAAAGTGATGAGACATAATACATACCCTTAGACCGACGTAGGTTAGAAAACCTTTTGGATCCTTCAAATACTCAATATCAGGAATAAAGAATCCATGGTACTTATGCATATGAACCATGCATTTCTCAATCGTCTTATGCTTTTTATCACACATCAAACAGCAAGCCGGATCCAATTCAAAGTCGATATCATCCTCATCCATATCTTCACCAGAACCAACCTCATCCATATCTTCACCTTCCAAGTCCTCGTCCGAATCAACCTCAACCCATTCATCTTCACTCTCTTCCTCAATCGAACCTTTAAGCTGAGCAGGGTTGTTTTTCACAACACGACGAGGAGGAAGTTGCTTGATTATCGCTTTATCCTCATCTCCGTTGCTCATCCCTTGAGAAGAAGCCTTCAAAACGTGGCTCTTAGACTTAAGATGCTGCTCATGAGCCTTGGAACTCCTGTAACTTTTACCACAGATACCACAACTATAAAGCATAGGTGCTTCAGTAGATTTGACCTTCTCTTGAGCAATTGCAGTTTGTCTAGCTTCAAAAAGTGCTTCTGTAACTCCAGGAACACCAGCAATCTAACATTTCACAAGAATTCAAGAACTACATAATAAACCCATATGTTCATTCATAAACACCACACGG